TTAAATTTCTTTTTGCTGCTGTTGTTTAAAGCAATAGTTTTCTGTATTAGAGCAGGAAATAGTTCTCCCGACAGAGAGGATTTGGCCCATACTGAGAAGCAAAGGGGTTTTCTAAACTCAATTTTCTTTCTTCTTTTTAAGTCTTCCCTCCCCTTTCCCTCCGGAAAGACAACATAAATAATTGATTCATCAGCCAGTACTAGACCCAGGAGATTTACACAATTCCTCCTCTCCTACCTAAACACACCCCTCCCAAATTTAAAATCCTAGAAGGGAGGGGGAAAATAAAGAAGTAATTTCTAAAGTATCACGAACTCTGCAAGCCACCCCCCCCACCCCACAACCAGGTGAGAGATGGGGAGAGGGGAATCATTCACCTCCACCCCCTAGCCTCCTCCCTCACTACACATACCATCCCTTTTCTAGTGTGGAATCACTTAAGATTTGGGTAAAACTTCTCTCTCTCTGGAGACTGTATCTGGAAGCTTTTAGGGGGGTGGAGGCAGAGGTAGGGAGGCAGAATTACCCCAAACGTTAATCAGGCCTAAAAGAGTCGCTTGTTTACTTAAAATTGCCCGACACCCCTCAATCCTCCACCATTAATTTTCGATTAAGACCTCCTCCTTATGGCAACTAAACTTTACTTTGCATAATTAAGATTTGCCTCGGAAGACCGGGGCGGGAAGAGCTGCAACTTGGGGCCATTCTCCTTCACCTCCCCAAACCTCTCCCCCCACCCTCTAGCTCCGGGCCTCAGAGTTCCTGAGTTTTCTCACTTTGAGGTGCCACTGAACACAAAGAACCATAATGGGCTCCTTTGTGCTCGCTACGGGGCAATTACGCCCGGGAGTCCAGGCCCCTTTAAGAGCCTCTTAAAGAGACAGACTCCCATTTTTTTTCCCCAGGTTTCGGAGCGTGTGCAGGGGGAGGGGCGAGGCGGACTCCTAAGGGTCTACGTGTAAAGTGAAGTGAAACTTTTGCCTGGGCTCCATGAGAAGGGGTGGAAAGAAAAATCTTTATAAACTGTTAGATTTTTAAAAGTCTCTTCGTTTTTTTGTTTTTTAATTTTCTAACTTGAGATTTTTCACTTGATTTGAAAAATTGGACTGGAATAGATGGGGTTGGAGAAACCGGAGCGGGGGAACGGATTTAAAGAGACCCTACCCGGCAGAGTGCCTTGGCCTCTGGAAGAGGAGTGATCCAGGGTTGAGTAGCCTGGGTCCACCGCAGCTCTGGGAAAAGTGTGTCTCCGGAACGCGGCGACTCCGGAGAAATCCTGGGCTGGGGCAAACAGACCTTAATATAATAATAGCTTGTCTCTTTAAAAAGCAAAAGGTGGGGGGGAAAGTTTTGTTGGCATCTGGTTTCTGATCTCATTATGTTGTGGTCGACCAATCCAGCCCTCGGGGCTGGTCCTGGGGTTTAAATCTGATTGGCCAAGAGCACATTTTGGGATGGTGCTTAGAGCCCGACGGGGCGGTTTCAAGGATCCCTTTTTTGGGGGGCTGAGGGGAGGGCGGGGCCACCAGAGGGGGGCCCCCTTGAAACCGACTAATTGGGATCGGAGAGGCCGAGGTGAGGGCTGGAGGAGGCACAAAGGAGTCGCTGGGTGGAGAAGGGAGGGGAGAGGGGGAGAGGAGAGGAGGGCAGCGGCGCGCGGTGTCTCGGGCGGCTCAGTCTGACCGTGTGGAGCTAGCGGGCAGGAGCGCCGCGCCCCCTCCCCCGCCCGGCCTCCCCACCTCTCCGGCCGCTAGGAAAGTTTGCTAAGAGGCGCGGGAGGCGGCGGCCGCAGCCAGGAGGCGGCGGGGAAGGCGCGCGATCTCGGGGTTGGGGGCGGGGGCGGGGGGCGCCCAGGAGCCGGGTGGGGGGCGGCGGCCAGCATGCGGCCCCGCAGCGCCCTGCCCGGCCTGCTGCTGCTGCTGCTACTGCCTGCCGCGGGGCCGGCCCAGTTCCACGGGGAGAAGGGCATCTCCATCCCGGACCACGGCTTCTGCCAGCCCATCTCCATCCCGCTGTGCACGGACATCGCCTACAACCAGACCATTATGCCCAACCTTCTGGGCCATACAAACCAGGAGGACGCTGGCCTGGAGGTGCACCAGTTTTATCCACTGGTGAAGGTGCAGTGCTCGCCTGAACTGCGCTTCTTCCTGTGCTCCATGTACGCACCGGTGTGTACTGTGTTGGAACAGGCCATCCCGCCGTGCCGCTCTATCTGCGAGCGCGCGCGCCAGGGCTGCGAGGCGCTCATGAACAAGTTTGGTTTCCAATGGCCCGAGCGCCTGCGCTGCGAGCACTTCCCGCGACACGGCGCTGAGCAGATCTGCGTGGGCCAGAACCACTCCGAGGACGGAGCGCCCGCGCTGCTCACCACCGCGCCGCCACAGGGATTGCAGCCAGGCGCTGGCGGCACCCCGGGCGGCCCCGGAGGCGGCGGAGCGCCTCCGCGCTACGCCACGCTAGAACACCCGTTCCACTGCCCGCGTGTCCTCAAAGTGCCATCCTATCTTAGCTACAAGTTTCTGGGCGAGCGTGATTGTGCGGCGCCCTGCGAACCGGCGCGGCCAGACGGCTCCATGTTCTTCTCGCAGGAGGAGACGCGTTTTGCGCGCCTCTGGATCCTCACTTGGTCTGTGCTGTGCTGTGCCTCTACCTTCTTCACTGTCACCACGTACTTGGTGGACATGCAGCGCTTCCGCTACCCAGAGCGGCCCATCATTTTTCTGTCAGGCTGCTACACTATGGTGTCGGTGGCCTATATTGCCGGCTTCGTGCTCCAAGAGCGTGTGGTGTGCAACGAACGATTTTCCGAGGACGGTTACCGCACAGTGGTGCAGGGCACCAAGAAGGAGGGCTGCACCATCCTCTTCATGATGCTATACTTCTTCAGCATGGCTAGCTCCATCTGGTGGGTCATCTTGTCGCTCACCTGGTTCCTGGCTGCCGGCATGAAGTGGGGCCACGAGGCCATCGAGGCCAACTCTCAATACTTCCACCTGGCTGCCTGGGCCGTGCCCGCCGTCAAGACCATCACCATCCTGGCCATGGGCCAGATCGACGGCGACCTGCTGAGCGGCGTGTGCTTCGTGGGCCTCAACAGCCTGGACCCGCTGCGGGGCTTCGTGTTGGCGCCACTCTTCGTGTACCTGTTCATCGGCACGTCCTTCCTTCTGGCTGGTTTCGTGTCGCTCTTCCGCATCCGCACTATTATGAAGCACGACGGCACCAAGACAGAGAAGCTGGAGCGGCTCATGGTGCGCATCGGCGTCTTCTCTGTGCTCTACACCGTGCCCGCCACCATCGTCATAGCCTGCTACTTCTACGAGCAGGCCTTCCGCGAGCACTGGGAGCGCTCGTGGGTGAGCCAACACTGCAAGAGCCTGGCCATCCCCTGCCCGGCGCACTATACCCCACGCATGTCGCCCGACTTCACTGTCTACATGATCAAATACCTCATGACACTCATCGTGGGCATCACATCAGGCTTCTGGATCTGGTCGGGCAAGACGCTGCACTCGTGGAGAAAGTTTTACACCCGTCTCACTAACAGCCGGCGCGGGGAGACCGCTGTGTGAGGGGCGTCCCTGGATCCACGGGCACCACATTTTCTTTCGTCCCGGGGGTCTCCTACAGACTCCTTATTTTATTTTTTTAAATAAAGAACAATCGAAACCAGTTCTATTTTAGGTTCCTTTTTAAAGAGAACTCTGCCCAACACCCCCACAAGGTTTGTAATTAAAACTGTAAATAGTCTTTGTAAATTTAATTATATATTTTCTATTTAAAAGAAAAAAGACAAAAAAAGGCGGTTGAGGGCTCCAGGGCTGAAGAATGCTGGGTAGGGGTGGAGGAGTGGGAGTTCGGGAGTCTTCCTCCTTTCTTAAGTGCCCTTTATAAACTACCAGTCCTTTATTTCCAGTTTTTTGGTGCTAGGGCAGGGCTGGGCCTCCTGGGAGAGGCGACCTTGCCTGAGCGCTGTGTCTGTTGGCTGTGAAGAGTTGGAAGTTTGTTCTATTCAACTTTTATAAAAGCCTAATTTGTTAGCCTCCTCATAGACACTGGGCCTGTGGAAGCTGTTGGTTATTTTTGAACAAGATTTGGATTCGTTTCGTTTTATTTTATTTTATTTTTCTCCTTGTTCCTCCTCACTTGTCCTGTCTTCACTGGATCTTTGGAAACTTCCCAAGGGAGATGAAGACGTGGAAAAAAAAAAACAAAACGGGGGGTGGTGGTGGTGTGCTGATGAGGAGAGGGAGGAGATCGGGTGAGGAATGGCCTCCACCCCTCACCCCCACCCCCACCCCGGCCCACTCCCCTACAGGCTGGAAGATCTTTCTCATCTCTCTGACTTTTCTTTTCAACTGGCTGCACCAAGCGCTTAGAATGGGCAGAAAATGCTTTGTGAAGTGTTTGAAACCACCCTTCCTCACACCCAACACGCACACTACCTTGTGTACTGGTTCAGACCGCCTGCATTTTTAGGAAAACTTTGTGCGTTTGCAAATTGGGGGGGGGGGTTGAGATCTTACACCTCTCCCCTCTTCTTCCCCTGCAATCTGCTCTCTCCTAGTGGAAAATCTCACATTCAGGTTAGCAGTTTAGAGGGTGGGTTTGTTTGGGTTTTTGTTCTTGGAGGGGGGCTCACTTTTTTTAAAAAAAAGCAATAAAAATGGGTTGGGTTGGAGGGAGGGGGCTGGTCGGACTTTTAGTTTTTCTTTGATAAAAGACTGGTTTCTTTAGAACTTGTCCAGAAGGAAAAAAAGGTGGGTATCTTTGCCTTAGCAGAAGGCTCTGGGCAGGCTCTTTGTGGCTGTGGGGGTGGGGAGGAGTGTTTACACGACATTCTATATCACAAGATTGATAGAATGTTTATAACAGATGTTTCTTATCTTCTCCCTACCCCCCAAAATAAAAGTCAAGATTTTTCTTAAGTTAGCAGCCTGAGAAGTGATGTATAAAGTATTTGCTGGTTTGAGATTTCCAGTTTCCAACACACATTTCCCTCAGCTATTTGGAATATCTTAGAATTTTAATTCCAAAACATTGATTTGAGTACCGGTATGCCACATAACTCAATTTTTACCATCTCCTGTTTCTTGATAATGCACATTTAAAGCTAATAATCATAATAATAAAGTGCATTTAATTATCTTAGAGAGATCTAGCCCTTTAATTGTATTTAACAGGGTTGTAACATTTTATTAGTTTAACCAAACTACACCTCCCTTCTCCCCTCTCCCCCTTACCCCCTTGGTTGGGAGTAGGGCAGAGAAGAGTGTTCTCAGCCCCAGAGGTTGCTTTTTTAGCTAAATGGTTATGAAGAAAATGGTACCTTACCATCCTTTGTTGGCTGTCTTTGGTACAAGGGAGAAAGTAAGTTAGAAGACTTACTTCAAAATGTTTGCTTGTGTTAGTTTGTGTTGGGGGATGGGAACTGGAAATGTTTGGTGGTAATTGAAGTCATATGTGGAGCTTTGTTTGGTATTGTATGAAACCTGGGGATTTCAGCCGAACCCTCCTCCCAAAATATATAACATTCCCCCAAATCATTTGTGTTTTAGCTACTTAAACCTAGTTTTTTCTTAAATGATGATGAGTGTGAAATTTCAACATGAGGTTACCTTAACTATCAAAGCAGCAGGCAGGGAAAGGTGTCACCACCCCATAGCTCCATTTGCTACAAGATTCTAAAGGAACCCCACAAGGGCTGCAGGAAAGAGTTAGGTTACAAACAAATTGTGAGTGCCTCTGCAGGTAATAATGGTGAAAGCCCCTGAATCAATTCAGATTTTCTATTGCCTAGAATTGAGCCCAGTGGGAAGAGGAGTGCTGGTCTCTATTGAAGATTTGGGAAGAGTCTCTCCTACCTCTATGACCCCCAGGATCTTAGCTCTGTGTGTGTGCCTTGGGTACCTTTGTACCTGAGCCCTCATACTGGTGGTGGACTAGCAACCCATCCCCCAAGGTCTGGCACTGCAGGGGAAGAAGGCCTGGGAAAACAGACAGGTTTTATGACTAGGGAGGAGGATAGATTAGAAGGTGATTGCCTCTTTGGGAAAGCATAGACCTCATAGATGCTCTCTCCTTCAAGAGGGTAGCCAGGGACTGAATTACCCTATAGGAGGTTGTGGCAGAACACTCACCCCGCACCCTGTTCCCATTTTTTAAATGAAACAACTCTTAGAAGTAGGGAAGCTTTAGACCACAGTGGGAAACAGGCTTGTGGGGAGAACCAGATGTAAATCACCTGAGCTTACTACCACTCTGAGTGAGGGCATCTCCACTCCCTTGTTTAGAAAACCCAGTTAAAAACAGTGGGTCACCCTATGGGCAAGAAAGGGTTTCCATGTTGTAAGTAGGTTGGACCCTCTGAAAGAGTAAGGCTTTGTGTTTGGTGGAGGGTTAGGGCCAAGAAAGAGATCCCCTTACCTGAGGCCCCTTGGCTTGGGGCAGGTCTCAGGTTGGAACTGCTTTCTACCTGCTCTTTGGCCCCTATCCCACAAAGGAGAAATGGTTCCCCAGGTCCTGGGTGGGGCATTTCTCCTTGAGACTCCTCCTTATGGATCAGACGTTTGCTTTCACTACCCCCATCCCAGACTTTCCTCCTGAAATCTTTTCCATTAGTTACAAACTCTGTGGCCTTTGAGAGGATCCATTAAGAGCCAGCCCTTGAAAAGGCCACTAACATTTTCCGAGACAAAATTCTCCCTGAAGAATGAGGATTGCTTTCTACTCAGTGGGATCTGGAGCTGCCAGGCTTCTGGATTATTAGAAAAAACTCTCCGAGGAGGTGTTGGGGCCCCTGATCTGGGCTGGATTCTGGAATTGAGGACATGCTGTCCAGGTGCCAGGGGCACATAGCTAGGGAGGTGAGTCCTCTCTTCTGCAGTCTTACCGAGCACTGTTTGAATATACTCTAGACTCATCCTCCTCACCTCTTAATGAATCTTAAACTTCTGGGGACCACTAAAAATATGAAAGCTCTTTGGACCTCTTCCTGGGGAAAAAATGGCTAGACTCACATGAACACAATATTTTGTAAAATTTTAGGAGGTTTCCATACCTTCTCCCCACCTGCCTCCCATGCCCATGCTAAGTTTTCTGGTCCCTGATCTAGATGTTTTCTAGTCTAGAGGACTGGCTGTCTTCACTTTTCCAAGGGAAAACATCCCCCAGGCTCTAATCACCTCTGCTACAGAAAGGGGGTGAAGAAAGAAAACCTTTGGGCCTACAAAACCAGGAATACCCGGAAACCAGAGATTATTTGCGTAGTCCAATCCTGCCCCTCACTCATGTATTAAGTAATCAAGACGCAGCAGAGTGGAAGATGGATGTATAAATACTTTTGCAATTGGGGTAAAAGGGAGAAAGATAGAGAGACAGAACATGTATGGAGAGCAGAGGCTCTGGCCTGCTTTTGTTCAGCTCACTGCAGTAGCAGCCTTTTGAGAACTTGTGTGTGGAGGTTTCCTAACCTCTTGAGTGCCAATGTTCTCATTTGTAAAAAGGTGATAGTACCTGTCTGGCAAGGTTGTGAGGATTAGATGGGAGGTTGCATGTACAGAGCCAGCACATAGCAGAAGTTGAATAAATTGTTGCACTTTTGTCATTATTTAGGATAAATTTCTAAAAATAGAAACACTGGCTCAAAGGATGTTTCTTGAGGGTTTTTTTAAACCTATCATTACAGATAGTTTGAACAGAATGATTTCCTGTACTCCCAGTTTTTCTACCTGACACTGGGTGCCAGCCCTGTGTCTAGAGGTTCCTTGGGGTGGTGGGCAGTATTTTTTCTCCATATCTGCCCTGATTAGGACAGAAATGTCTTACTCGCCTGAGTGAGCAGGGCACACACGCGGGCAGGGCGGGCTCTCTATTCAGCCGCCTTTGAAGCTGGCTAATTAGGGCTGGGGCTGTCACAGCTGGCTTCCCCTGCGCCTCCCCCTGCCCCAGCCCCTCACAGCCTGAGAGTCCTCCTCAGCTGCCTTGCCTGCCTTCCACTGCAGACTTGTGGCTCCCCCAAGCCATCTGGGAAGGTCCCAGGATTTGAGGCCTGGAAGGGCAGAGGTGAAAGCAACGGGGAAAGGACAAGATAGGACCTGGGACGTGAATAGACCACTGGGTTAGAGAGGACTGCCTACCCCCAGGACCTCTCCTCATTCCCTTGAAGCCTGGAAAGGAGCCGGCCTGGGCTGGGGGCTGAGCCCTGGGCCCTTTGTTTGAAAGCCAAAGCTTTCTAAAGGCTCCAGCCTCCCAACCTGGGCCTTATAATTAGCCCCAATCAGAGTGTTTATGTTGGGGCCTAGTGCGGAACTCAGAGCCCCATGATTTCATTCCAAATGTGGGGGGAGGAGGGAAAGCAAAAAGGATTTGTGTGGGGACAACCAAAAAAGGAATATGGGGGTTGAAAGTGATGAGAAGATCTGGAAGAGGGGGAGAGGAGGAGGGCTGGGAGGGGGGAACAGCCAGCCTCTGTTTGGACATCAGGGGGGTCAAGACCCCTCCCAGAGTGGTGGGTGCTCCAGCAGCCTCACCCTGGGCCAAGCCTGGCTGCCTTCTGGGCAGGCTTTGTGGGTGGGTGGGCTTGTGCCAATCGGAAATGGCTTGGATATAATTAACCCAACTAATCACCAGCCTCAGCCCTATGGGAGGGGAGGGTACAGCCCAGAGCCATGGCCCCCCAGGAAGCTCCCCTCACTGCCTGTCTCCCCATTC